CAGTCCTCCTGGCGCTTAACAGCATATACAACATTGCTCTGTTTGTGCCGGGGCACCGGATCTTTGGGGTGAACCAGCCTTTGCCGTAATGTTTTTTGGGGTTTGAAAGCCACTGGGACATCATGTTTAGAAAATAAACGTCTCAGTTTCTCCGAAACACCCGCAACATACGGAATAACCACTGCAATAATGTTATCAATAATGTTAATGTTAACAATAATGTTATCTTTCCAGAAATAGACTCATATTTATTACAAAACTTTGATGTCACAGGTACTTTTAAGTACTTTTAAGTTGTTGGTTGATTTTTAAAACCTGAGTCGTTTGTGTCGCTTACTGGTGGCGACCATCTCTTTTTTGTTGGCCCCAAAATCTACAATCTGCGGCTACGCACGCCGCAATTACTTCCTGAGAGCTTCAGTAAAATCTGTTTACTGGTTTGAGACATATAACACAAAAAATAAACACACATAAGCAATCACTATTGCCCTTTTAATGGTGGGCAGCGGTGGGCACAGGTACGCTAACTGCTAATAGTAGAACTAGCTTACTTTGGAATTCGTTAGCATACGATTAGCTTCTGCTCAATAGTTTCAGCTAATTTTACATCCATTAAAAAATTCTCCGAAGTGTAAAACTTCTATTTTTTATGCCATTTATCCTGAATTAAATAAAAACTAACAGTGCTGGACATACAGTAYCAGGCTCTTTGTTAGCTTGTAGCATCTATACTAGCTAAACGACAGRCTAACAGCATCAAAAAGAAAATAAAAACTGACGACATATAAACTGGCAAACAAGATATTTCATATTTGTTTGTTGACTAACTTCTAACAGTATTCTTAAAAGCAATTTCTAACATGTTTAGTGGTTCAGGGTTAGCAGAGCTACGATAAAATTTAGCGGATTAGCAGTTAGTGAAGCTAAATTTTTGGTTAGCTGTAACCAACGCTGCTGATGGGGGATAAAAATCCTATTAGAGCTGAAAAAATAAAACAAATTGTCAGTTTTATTCATGAAACTGAGCTTYAACAAGAGCACAAAAATTATTTCAACAAAAACAGATAAAAATATGTGAATTTTATTCACTTCTCAAGTTAGGTTTTAATTTACTCGGTTTTTATAATATTTTTAAAAACACAATAAAAACGTCCACAATGTGATGAAACAAAGTCACGAAAGCTTCAGATATTTACACCGTAGAGAAAATGAGACCAATTTTTTTCAGAGTTTAAACAGTCGACGTTGTACGGTGGCTCAGATGGAAAGCTTTTTTACGGCGTGCTCAGAAGAAGCCCAGGCCGCCGCTGCGCTGCTGCTGATAGCTGACGTATGATTGGACGAGAGAGTCGGGGATCCGGGGCTTCACGGCGTTCAGGGCACCTTCAAAGTGTCTGGCCTGGATGTTTGGAGCTTTGATGTCCTCCTGTAGGGCCAGCAGGGCGGCCTCTCTGCATACTGCTGTTATCTGGGACAGGAAGCAGACACAGACATTCAGCTGTCAGAACCAGAACCAGAACCAGAACCACCGGGTCACGTGAGACACCCTCAGGACGGTCCACTGCCAGAGTTAAAACGTACAAGAATGTGTTTTCACAAAGAAAGGAACGTCAAAACATTTGGCTCATTCAGGAGATGGTCTTTTTATTTTTATACTTTTCAAAAATATTTTACTTTATTTTTCCTGTAAAATACATAAAAATCTTAAAAATCTGCTTCTGCAAACTGGCTCCATTTTTATCTTCTTATGCTACGTTTTTGCTACTTTCAACATCTACAGTACGTAGCCTTTTTGCAATTTAGCTTTAGCTACTTTCAGTTTTTATTTGGTGATTTGTTATTTTTAGCTTTTATATAGTAATGTTATTGTTAGCTAGCATTTTGTTACATTCAGCTTCTAGCTAACTTGATACATTTAGCTAGCATTTAGCTATTTTAACACAGCTAACGTTTTAATGCTTTTCGCTAGCATTTGCTACCTTTAATTTTCAGCTACTTTCATGCAGCTAAAGTTTTAATGTTTTTCTCTAACACTTTGTAACATTTAGTTTTCTGCCAGCTTTCTGCCTTTTTAGCTTCCAGCTACTCTTTTGCTAATTTCAGTACTTTAACTTGGCTAACATTTGATGCTTTCAGTTAGCATTTTGCAACTTTTAGCTTGAGATGGTTTTGATATTTTTAGCTATCATTTTGCTATTTCTAACTTTCAGCTACTGTTCTGCTACTTTGACTCAACTAACACTTCAATGCTTTCGGCTATCATTTCACAACTTCTAGCTTTTAGCCAGCTCTCTGTTATTTTAGCTTCAGTTACTCTTTTACTTTGTTTAGCTGTTTTTTTGCTACTTCAACTTAACATTTTGATGCTTTCATTTAGCATTTTGAAACATTTAGCTATCTTACGCTACTTGAAGTTTGCTAACCCTTCGATTCTTTTAGCTAGCAATTTAATTTCAGCTTCAATCAAGCCTTCTGTTTTTTTGACCCATTTGCTAATTAGCTATTCTTTTGCTACATTAACTTAGCTAACATTTGATGCTTTCAGTTAACATATCGAATCGTTTACCTAGATTATGCTACTTTAAGTTTGCTAACCCTTTGATGCTTTTAGCTAACTTCAATCAAACCTTCTGCTTTTTTAGATTCTAGCTACACATTCGCTAATTAGATATTGTTTTGCTACTTAAAGTTAGCTAACATTTTGATGCTTTTAGTTAGCATTTTGCAACTTTTAGCTTTTAGCTAGCTTATGATACTTGAAGTTTGCTAACCCTTTGATTTTTTTTGACTTTTTTTTTGCTTTTAGCTAACTTCAATAAAGCCTTCTGCGTTTTTAGATTCTAGCTATCCATTTGCTAATTAGCTATTCTTTTGCTACATTAACATAGCTAAAATTTGATGCTTTCAGTTAGCATGTTGAAACTTTTAGCTAGCTTATGTTACTTGAAGTTTGCTAATCTTTTGATGCCTTTAGTTAGCATTTTGCAACTTTTAGCTTTTAGCTAGCTTATGCTACTTGAAGTTTGCTAACCTTTTGATGCTTTTAGCTAACTTCAATCAAACCTTCTGCTCTTTTAGATTCAAGCTACCCCTTTGCTAATTAGCTATTGTTTTGCTACTCAAACTTAACTAATATTTTGATGCTTTTAGTTAGCATTTTGCAACTTTTAGCTTTTAGCTAGCTTATGCTACATATAGCTTTTAACCAGCCTTTATGTAACAACAAGCTTTTTAAATTTTAATTAATTTAGGCTTTTTAAAAGCTTCAACAGCTCAGTGTCAGCTACTTTAACACATTTTAGCTGTCAGTCAAGTCTCAGCATTCACACATTTTTCAACTGAATGTCGTTTCTTTAGTTTCATTTGTGCTTTTGAATAATTTATGAATCAAGAGGAATTAATTCAAAAACATAAAAGTAGAAAAAGGCTTTTGTTCCGATGTGAGGCTAAAGTTTCATATTAATCAAAGGAGAAGTGTTTTTTTTCTGTAATATCCTGGATTTATGTAATAAACAAGTTGGAAAAGTACCACAGTGAATATTATGTTTCAGTTTGTAACAAGATATCTCAGCCTGACAGAAGCAGAGAAACTCTCACTCCCACGGTGGAAAAGAAAATGCTGCTCTGTCTCAGAAGAGTCAAAACTTTGGTTTGGATTTAAAAAAAAAAGCTAAAACTGGTGTCAAATAATGAAACTATAGAATAAGTTTAATAAAAAAGTAATAATACCAGAACTACTCTACAGATTGTGAACGAMTCTCTACCAAACCAGATTCTAAATAAAAAGCTGTAAAACTAAGACACGTTTGTTTTAGCTAATGTCACAAACATCACCCGTCACTTCTACAACAAYATTTCTGTCCTCTTTAAGATTTGTAATTCTCACAAGCGGCAAMATCATCCTGAACAGATGCGGTTGTCGGCCGCCGTGGAGGCAGGAAAAAACAGCCGAAGGTGTCGATTGTTTAAACACACGAGGACCGCAGCTTTCTTTTTTTTTCTTCCTCAAAGCAGGGCAGTGAAATGAAGGAAGATGGCGGTTTGAATGTGCTCAGGGCACGGTTCAGGACAGGTGCTTTGCAGATGTCAGGATGTGAGAGCCCCCCCACCACCCCCCCAAGCCCCATTCTTCTRCTTCCAGCCAATGAGCAACGTGATTTAGACAGGGTAAACACGCAGGCCCCGGTTAATTTGGTATGAGGTCTTCCCATCATTCATACCGTTTTAGGCCTGTCAGTAATAATGATGCAAAACAATGAGC